TCTGGCCAGTTCACTGGGAGTGAAACTGTGCACGAAGGGTACATGCGTGTCTGGCCAGTTCACTGGGAGTGAAACTGTGCACGAAGGGTACATGCACATGCAGCCTTACCAGCCATGGTCAGTGCTCTCCAGACGGACGCTGCCGCTTTCTGCTCCAATGAGGACAAGTTCCTTTGCTGCATGTTCTCTGCATACTGGGTCTTGTCAGGCTTGTTGCCCATCGGATACAAGAACCAGTATCTCGTTGTGGTAGTACTGCACTTCCCTGGATTACAGCGAGGTAGAGCTCACGTGCTTAGTGGGCTCTCGTGTTTCCACGTCTGTAAATTACCCGTTCAGTGCTCTACAGATTTGCCATTGCGTTATTTGTCCTTTTCTTATGAAATTTTTAGGAGTATAACACATTCTGCATACTAATCAAGATCAAAAATATTCATTGAAAATACCTCTTCCCGTCTATGGTTTCATTTATCATATCTTTTGCACCATACAAGTTTTATATTTTGATTTCTTTTTCTTTATAACTTGCACCTTTTTGTGTCTTGGATTCTTTCTTTTTTTAGTGTCTTCAAGACATTCTCCTATATTTTCTTCTAAAATTTTATTTTATTTTATTTTATTTTTTTTTTTTTTTTTAAAGATTTTATTTATTCAATTTTTTCCCCCCAAAGCCCCAGCAGATAGTTGTATGTCATAGGTTCACATCCTTCTAGTTGCTGTACGTGGGACTCGGCCTCGTGCTGGACGGAGAAGTGGTGCCTTGGGGCGCGCCCGGGATCCGAACCCGGGCCGCCAGCATCAGAGCGCGCGCACTTAACCGCTAAGCCACAGAGCCGGCCCTCTTCTAAAATTTTAAATTGTTATTTTTTATGTTTATGTCTTAAAATATATCCTGAATCAAATCTGTGTGGTGAAGTATAGGAAACCAATTTTATTTTTTCCAATATGGGTCACCACTTGTGCCCATACCCTTCATCAATAGTCTGTCCTTTCTCCAGTGATTTCCTGCATCACCTCTCTCCTAGATGGAGTTCCCATTACAGTCTGTGTCGAGGTTCTCTGTCCTGCTCTGTGACAGCACATGCCACATGGCTGTGATGGCTACAGTCTTGAGCCAGGTCCTCAATTTGTATTTTCTTCAAAATTGTCCTGGCTATTGTTAGCCCTTTGTTCTGCTATATAAATTTTATATAATCAGCTTTTCTGTTTCCACAACAACCTTATTGGGTTGTTATTTGGAATTGCATTGAATTGATAGATTCAGTTGGGAGAATTGACGTCTTTGTAATATTAAGTCTTCCTATCCCTGAACATGATATATCTTTCCACTTATTTGTCTTCTTTAATGTCTTTTACTATGGTTTATAACTTTCTACATAAAAATCACAATCATTTTGTTTGAGATACCATATAGTTTTTGTAATTTTAAGTAATAATCTTTCTTTTGACCATTTGTCACTGGCAAAAAGGAATGCAAGTGGACATCTTTGTTTCATTCCGGAGAGTAAAGGAAACATGTCCAACTTTTCACCTTTACGTATGATGTTTGCTGTAGAGTTTTTGGTGGATACTCTTTATCAGTTTGTAGAAATTCCCATTCTATTCTAGTTGGTTAAGGTTTTTTTTCATAAATGAAGTTAATTCAATGAATTTTATTGAATGTTTTTCTACGTCTCTTGCATGATCCTATGTTTTTGCCCCTTTACTGTATCAGTGTGGTGAACTGCATGATTGGAATTTCTCATCAAACCATCCTGGCATTTCTGGATGAACTCAACTTGGTAATTTACTTTAACATTGTGGCATTAAGTTCATCAGTATTTTCCTTAGAATGTTCTCTATCTGTATTTATGGGTGAATTTGGCCTATAATTTTTTATCTTGTACTTCCCCTCATCTGATTTAGATACCAAGTTTATACCAGCCTCATAAAATTAATTATAGAGCATGCCCTCATTTTCCATTCTCTGGGACAATTTGTGTAAGACAAAGGTTATGTGTTCTTTGGGTGTCTAGGTAGAACTGATCTCCAAAACTGCCTGGACTTAGTAGGGTTTTGTGTGGGTAGGTTTTAATTCAGATTCCATTTCTTTCAGAGGATCAGAGGATCATTCAGGTTGTCTATTTCTTTGTAAGTTAGCTTTGATCTGCTGTATTTTTCTAAGATGTCCATTTCAGCTAAATTCTCTCATTTATTTCCATGAAGTTGTTCAGAGCATTCTCATGATTTTTAATCTCTGCTGTCTGTGTAGATATGTCTCCTTTTTCGTTCCTATTATTATGTATTTGCTTTTTCTCCTTTTTCTTGATTAATCCTACAAGACATTTGGTAATTTCTTTAGTGTTTTAAACTTTTGCTGTGTTGATATACTTCATTATTATACCTTTATTTTGTGTTCCAGTAATTTCTTTTCTTGTCTTTATTTCCTTCTATTTTCTTTAGGTTTACTCTCTTATTCTTTTTCAGTTCTGGAGTTGAAAATAAAAATATCTCATTAACTTTCAGTCTTTCTTCCTTTCTAATATACATATTTTAATCTGTAATCTTCTCTCTCAGTACCACTCATCTACATCCCTCAAGTGTGGTAGGTACTGTTTTTATCGGTGTTCAGTTCTAAGTTATTTGTTCTTTCCGTTATGATCCCTCTACCTTAGAGCTTACGCTTTCTCTTTGCGTCACATGATAGTGTTAAATATTTCTGACTTGTGGGTGCCATGACCTGAAGGAGGAGGGCAGTCCAAACATGCTTGGCATTGGTACCTGTGTGAGCCACAAGAGACTGGTCCTCTACTAGGCCTAGAAAGGGACTCAGGACGTCTGCTATAATTCCTAGGGGGTGAGTGTGTCTGGTGTCCTGTAAGAATCTGGGTGGACTGTAGGATCCAAAGGTGGCCGCCATGCACCCTCCAGGGTAGTAAGAACCAGAAAGAGGAGTCCTTGCTCACCAAACACACTCACACAGGACAAACAAAAATGCCAACTTGTCCTTTTAAATTGAGAAATAACATTGCAGGTTTGTGCATTTGGTTGTCCCAAGTGCCAGAAGGCACAGGGTTGGCATCAGCTTGAATACAGGTACTGCTAAGTCACCAATA